AAAAAAAAAAATTTTTTTTTTTTTTTTCCTTTATAGGGGGGGGGGAGAAAAAAAAAAAAAAAAAAAAAAAAAAAAAAAGTAGATGGAAAAATAAACTAATGTTGGACGTTGAAGCTGGGAAGATTCGGCAAGGCTTAATGGACTTAGCACCGGGCTGAGAACTATATACTCTGATTTCTATTCCTAGATTTGCCATTAGCCTGCTGTGTGCAATTAGGTAATTTAAGTAACCCTGGGTGCATCTACATGTACAATTAATACGATGCAATAAACTCTAAGGCTGTTTGAGCCACAGTATACTGCTCCTGGGCGCAACATCTACACGTGAACACGAACTGCTGCAGGACACAGGTGTCCTGGCCCTGGGTGAGGGCAGAGGGGCTGGCTGGGACACGAGAGAGCCCAAAGCGTGGAGCTGTGTGGCTAGGTGGAAGGCGGGAGTCTGGCTCCCCTGTTGCCTGGGCTGACTGGGCACAATTTACACCCGGCTGTCAGTCTTCACGTGCATTTCAGTGTAAAAAATGACTCCACCATTTGATAATCCTATCCCTGATGGTATCTTATGGCAGAGTTAGTTAATGCCCTAATACCAGCATGCATGTAGATGATGAAACTTTTGTGCATGTAGATGGTGACACTATACAGCAGAGCTAATTCATCTGCTCCACAGTAAAGCGCACATGTAGATGCATCCCCTGCGTGCCTCAGCTTTGCCAAGCGTGAAATGGGGCTGATGATTGTTTTATGGGCAAGGAGGGCTTTTGTCTAGAACTTTTGCCAGTGTAAAATTCTACGTACCTGCTATATATTGGAGTCAAAGAAGAGTTCCAGTCAGTTGTGTGTCAGCATTCAAAGGGAAAAGTACAACTACAGCATACTTGTTACACCAGTCACACACACATCACAGTGAGGCCACTTTTTATTCGTGTTTTTGTGTATTATTTTCACTCCATCAACACTTGGTTTGGAAAACAGGCTCTTAAACTGAACCCCCTAAAAATGTGTGCATATTTACAGAGATCTATGAATGCAGCAGGGCACTGTATGTGCAAACAGACCCAATTTACAGACTTTTTATGCATAGTGCAAAGGGAACCGAGGTGGTTATCTGAGTTAGTCTGAAGTCGGGCAGAACACAGGGCAGGGTACTGCCTTCAAGAGAAGAAGTTAGTCTCTAAGCCCCCCCTATCTTCAGCACAAAGGCTGAAATTAGCTTTGCTCAAAGTGCGGCTCAGTGCTGATCCAGCATTTAA